TGTCTACGAGTGGCATCAGCTATGGTCATTCATTCATACAACCAATATTTACTGAGTGCTGGTTGTGCAAAGCCCTGTGCTAGGTACTTAATATATGCTCTCTCATTGAATGGGTGGCAACAAAACTGTGGGGACAATGCTATTAATCCCCATTTGCAGGTGCCCAAACTGAGGCTCATAGGGGCTAAGCTGCCTAAGGCCACAGAACCAGGAGGGGGACGTCACCTCTTTGGCACTCCGAAGGGAGCTGCCTGGTCTGCATCTGGGACAGGGAAGTTAAGAAGGATGCTCCTCCACCAGAGAGACACTGACTCCCCAGGCCAGAGGAAATGGGGTCCTTCTTCCTGGGAAGCAGTGGGCCCAAGGCCTTGGGAGGGACCTCAGGGGTCAGGGAAAGGGAGAACTTCGGTCTCCTGTCTCGGTAGGTGGTGGTGTTCACTATGAAAGTTTCTATGTCCAGTGACAAAATGACTAGTGGAGGCCCACAGTGGTTCCCAAGCATGTAGTTAGAGTTCACGGGAAGAGAAGGAGCAGGAAGATCAGAGACAGTGGAGGAGGATCGTGTCTGCGGTGGCAGTTAGCAGCCAAACACAACACGAAGGCTCTTGCCTCCTGAAACGTCCAGCTTTGAATCACAGAGCCTGTTCCTGCTTGACAGCCACAACTGCTCCCCCGCCCCCCACACACACACACCCCACCATTTCCAGACATGCCAGGTGGCCTCACTGACCTATTTCAACACAACTGGAGCTGGATGATTCCCGTGTTGGCTTTGGGGTAAATTTTGAGAAAGAAAGGTGGGTTTTTCTCTGTTTCAGTTAGAGCAGGACCATTGAGGCTTGAAAACTTGGGCCATTAGGTTGCTGCCAGCAGGCACATTCTTTGACCTTCTGTGGTGGGTCCACAGAGTGGAACCAGGTGTTCTTTCAGCTCATGCCAGAATGTATTGGCCGCCCAACTGGCCACCTGCCTCCACCCCACCGACGGGGCTTTGGCTGGCTCTCTACCAAACAGCTGTGCTGGGAGCCACAGGTGGCCGCCCACGCTTGTGCCCAGGCCAGCAGCTGCGCTGGCCTGGCTCAGCCTGGCAAGATGGACCTCATGTCCCTCTGCCCCTTTGCCCCAACTTCTCCCCAAGCCAGGTCACTCAAGGGGCTGAAGAGAAGGAAAACCAAAGCTTATATACACCAAAAAATTGCTTTTGTGGTTCAAAGGCAATCAAAAAGCATACCGCTAAAAATCTTCAATATAATTAATTTTGATATTTTATTTCAATCATTCAAATTAATCTGATTAAAATTAATAGATAATTAGTTCCTGTTTGTTGGGTGTATTATTGTTAGAATAAAAGTATACTGATACTATGTATTTATATAAATATAAAGGCAAAGGTTGATCACATTCCAACTTCAAAAAAATAGCAATATCTGGGAATTCTAGGAATCTAGACAATAAAGAGAATTATTTGATATTCTGTGGTATTCTGTAACAATACCCACAGAAGTAGCTAAAATATAATATGAATTTGAATTAAAGTGAGTAGCAAACACTGTTATCATGGCTAAACTAATTGCAATAAAAATCATTTGATTCATAGTCTTAAACTTTAGAACATAAAAGGCAAAATTGAGAAATTAAGTATTTTATTTTGAGTTTAAAAAGAGAAAGTATTTGTTGAGCCAGGGAGATGTCATTATGTACTGACTCAGGATCCAAGTCCCCACCAATGTGGGCGCTCCTGCTGGAGGAAGTATAGGGGACCCACTATTTTATTTTGTCCCATATTTAATCTTAGTTGCAAAAACTATAGGCACCAACTATCTCTTATGTCTGGTGTTTTAAATCAATATGTTAGAACTTAACTCTCAAAATGTTAGC